GAGGAAACTTGTACTCCATTTTTCATTTTACTGTGAATGAGTGAGAATTGTACAATAGACCAATATGTGAAAATACAAGAAGTGAAAAGAACACGGCCTTGAGAACCCGGGAAGCCTACTGTGACGTTCTGATACATGTATTCTTTTGATTTTTATCCATTGTTCCTGGCTCATAACTACTACTGCCCTTACTAATTCTAAGTGAGTAAAATATTTCTGGGGCCTCAAAAAAGCAAAATCTCTCTCTGACCTCTCTGTCCTCCTTTCACCTGTTCCGTTTCTCTTCCCCAAACTGGGTTACAGGAACTAAAAATACACTCTAGTCTCGGCCTGCCTTTCTGTCTTGGAGTTGGCAATAAATAAGTTCTGTGATAGTTGGTCACAAGCCCCATTCCAGGAGGAGGACTGGCTGAGTGTGCCACAGCCAGGGGAAGGAGCACTGTACAGCGGCTTTGCCAGTGTCCCTGCTCAGTCACAGTTCACGTCAGATAAGTGGTTTTGCCCACATGTCTGCTTCAGTCGTGATTATGCAACAAAGCAACCACAAAATCCCACAAGGAAGCTGGGCATGGTGATACATGCTGGTAATCCTGACTCTCTGGGATGCTGATTAGGAGGGCTGCGAATTCCATTTAGCAAGACTCTGTCTCAAAATTATAAAAGACCTAGAGGTGTAGCTCAGCGGCAGAGTGCTTGATGAGCATGTGCAAAGCTCTGAGTTCAGTCCCCAATACCACAATTAAACAAACGACAGCAAACTCCCAAGGTACACTCTGGAGAACTTCCAGGCTGCCACGTATCTGGAGGTACCTTAGAAGAATGCTCCCCAGAGAGGAGAGGGCGGCTCTCCAACACCTTGCCTTATGCATCCCCTCATCGTCTCCTTTATCATGATACATCAGTGAACATTCTTCCCTGAATTCTGTGAGCCCCTCTTAGAAACTACTGCAACTAAAGGACAGAGTCTTGGGAACCCCAACTGGTAGCTTGCCAGTCACAAGTTCCAAGGGGCAACAACTGCAGGAGGCAGTTGAAGTAGAGGGCTGATGTGAGTCCTCAGCCTGTAGGAGCTGACTATCTCCTGGCAGACGGAGTCGGAAGTGAACCAGACCAGAGGATGCACGGCTGGTATGCAGTGCAGAATGGACCGCTCGCCTGCTGGGAAGAGACACTGCTGCCACATGTCTCAGGACCCCAGACAGGATCCGTGTCATGCGTGCACTTTAGGGGAAACAGAAATTGAGTTTAGGTTTGGTTTCCCTCCACATTGTAGACCTAATTTCAGGTTTGATGACTGCAGGTCAGTCACTTAACCTCTTGGAGCCTCAATTTCCTTGAGGATATTAATTATCTCAGAGGCTACAGAAGGATTAAACATGATTTATACACAGAAGGTGCTCAGCAAAAATAAGCAACTTTCACTGGTTACACTGAAGTTGGGACTTTCACTTAAAGTGAGGACAGGAGAACTGGCATTGCACTACCCGCTGCAATGAGGGTGATTCCCCACGAGAGCAAATGCATGAGGGCAACTCTTTGCAGGGCCTGGGCGGGCAGCACCAGACTGCAACAACAAAGGGAGGGGACACACAGAGGTGGGCCTGTGACAGCACAACTCTCACCAGAGCAGGTGTTCCCACTGCACCTGTGGCACAGACAGCTGGAATCTGAGCACAGAGAGAGGTCCTGCAGTGCCAAGCCAAGGGCAAGAAGGTAGCTAAGCTCTGTGGAATGGCACAGGATGGGGAAGTGAGAAGGGACAGAAGTCTACGTGGTAGAGGTGGGCTACGCCCTCCCCAGGGAGCGGCTACTGAGGAACTGAGAGCACCACAATGACCCATGAAGCCTAGCAAGCAGGGCTGCAGGGCTCTGGAGTTCCAGTCACAGCAGGATCCAGGTAGACAGCAGAAGGCATAATGCAGTAAGAACTATGCATCCTAGAGCAAGGCTTATTTTGGGTCTGCTCTAACAAGGAGCACAGCAAGGCCACCATGGCCCAGCACAGCCCAGACCCACATTACAAAGCCCTAATGAAGTAAAGAGGGCAATTATGCAAGACAGTCAGGTGGGAGCGGCAGCAGGAAAGCAAAGGAATGGTTGCATACAGAGGAATGATCAGGTAAGTATATATTTTGGATAATAAGACTAAGGTTTCCTCCCGTCAGACCAGGGAGTCAAAAATATACAAAGAGAGCTGGGCGTGGTGGCACACACCAGTAGCACTCGGAGGCTGAGGCAGGAGGATCGTTGCAAGGTCAAGAGAAGCCTGGGCTACAAAGTGAGCTCAAGGCCAGCCTGAACTACATAGGGAGACCCCGTCTCAAAAAGATTAAAAAAAAAAAAAAAAAAAAAAAAAAAAAAAAATATATATATATATATATATATATATATATGAAGAAAACTAGAAATACAACTAGCATATGGATGGAACTGGAAAGATCACTATAAATGCATGGTTATTAACATCTACTTCAATGCTTATACACATATAAATTAAATACAGATTCATGGAGGGAACCTGCGAATAGTGCCCCCAAACCCAGCAACAAGCACCCCCATCACCTGCTGTCTTATTCCTAATCATCATCCTACACTAGAAGGAACCTTCCTTCAGGTCTTAAGGAAAACCTTAAGATGTTTCTGGGACTCCCTGGGCCAGCAAGAAAAGAAGGACTTTATCAATGATGAGGATATGAAAAAGTACAAAGATAGCCTAAAAGGGCTCCTAATGGCCAAATCTAGGACAATTTAATTATGATTAGATACTGATACAAATATCAGGTTCCATCCTTAGTGTTACAAACACAATCAAACAAGCTGAAAGTCTGACAAGGAAGAGGTATTTGACAAAGCACTTCCCCAGCAAAACGCTTACGTTTTGATTACACAGGGAAAAAGTAACTTTATTGTGGAGAAGTCCTGCAGACATCTTAACCAAATGATCAACATTATTGTTAAACACAAAATCCTAAACCACAGGGGCTGGGGGTTTAGCTCAGCGGCATAAGCACCTGCCTTGCAAGCAGGCAGTCGTGAGTTCGATCCCCGGTACCGATAAAAATGAAAAAGACAAAAAAAAAAAAAAAAAAAAAAAAAAAAAAAAAAATCCTAAACCACAGCAAAGGGCTGTAACAAGAGTTCTGCTGGGTGTGATGGCATATGCCTGTTATCTCAGCACTCAGGAGGCTGAGGCAGGAGGATCATTGCAAGGTCAAGATTGGCATGGGCTACAAAGTGAACTCAAGGCCAGCCTGAACTGCATAGTGAGCCCCTGTCTCAAAGCCAAAAAAAAAAAAAAAGAGCTCTGTGGTAGCCCTGCCAAAAATGTAACTTGAATCTAAACATGAATATCAGACAAACCCAAATCGAGGGCCATTTACAAAATAGTGCTCTGTAATTTTCGAAAGTGTCAAGATCATAAAAGTTAAAGAGAAATTAAGAAAATATTTTGGATTGAAGGTGAACACATATGACATGATCTGGAACTAGGTCTTTCAGTATAAGACATTGTTAGGACAGTCGGATTCCACTTTCCTCATTTGTAAGCTTTAAGGTTAAAAAGATTTAAAAACTCAACCTAATGATATTTCATCATTTTCTGAAATAGGATTGCACAACGATCCTCTACTGTGCCGAGAGCTAACTGTATTTTAATATATAAAACGTTCTTTACTCATATTCTAACCAGCTGATAAAAAAGATTACTATAGAATCACAGCTACCTTAATGAAAAGTAGCTTAAAGTTTACAGCAATTTTTTCTCGGGGGTGGGGGCAGGTATTGGAGATTACACTGAGCTCCTCCCCAGCTCTTTTATTTTGAGATAGGGTCTTCCTAAATTGCCCAGGCTGGGCTCAAACTTGCATTTCTTCTGCCTCAGTCTCCCAGAATACTGGCATTACAGGGATGTGACACTATGCTCAATTTACAGGAAAATATTTTAAGGAAAAAAGTTAAGAACTCCATCAACAGCATATTCACACATGGAATATTCTCTTGCTATGTGAAGAGAATGGAAAGATACCAAGCTTTTGTCAAACAGAGAAAGGAAAATTTATGCCAGTGTATGTAACGTATTCCCTTTCATCCGGATATGTGTTTAATATGGCCACATATATGGGTCTCATACACAGAGAAAATTTCTAAAGGACATAGTATAAAAATTTGTTAACAATCATTTGTTCTGGCAAATGGGAGTAGTCAAAAGGGAGCCAGGCACTTTACTCTTCTTCGACTCTTATATACTCAAGTTCCACCAAGAAACATTTAAAAAAATTAAGTATTCCCAGTAATATTAAGTACGTTTAGCTCCAGATCTTATTTTTTAGCCACAGCTTCCAAATCCTTGAAAAATGGCGGTCAGAGTGGGTAGGAGAGTGCTGTGGATGTCTCCCTGTGCCAGGGAGGAAAGCAGCTCCCAAAACTAATGCAGGCGTGGAAGAGGACAAAGAGGTTAGTGTGCTGGAGCTCCTGCTGGCCAATCTAGGGCAATCTGAACATCAAAAAAGAATCACTAAGGTCGAGATAGAGCTCAGTGGCGCAGGGCCTGCCTGGCAAGCACTAGATCATGAGTTGGATTCCTGGAAACAAAAACAAAACAAACAAAACAATCAAGCAGCTAATTGGGGCTGGGGATTTAGCTCAGCGGCATAAGCACCTGCCTTGCAAGCAGGCAGTCTTGAGTTCGATCCCTGGTACCGATAAAAAAGGAAAAGGAAAAAGACAAAAAAAAAAAAAAAAAAAAAAAAGATAGCAGCTAATTATAGAGGAGGAAGAAAGCGCCCAATAGGTTCCTGTGACACCAAATTCTTCTTCTGGAAAAAAATCGTATTGCGGGTTCATTTAATAATTATTTATTAGATAGTAAATGTCTGTGGCATGGAATTTTATATGCAGATACTGTATTTCATAATTTTAAAATAAAAACATTAAGGTTTCAGAGAGCAAAAAAGAGGTCATTAAAAATACGAATCTTTAGAAAGAAAATTGTAGTATTTTACCTGCAAGAGTATGTAGGCTCTCCAACTTTAAAAACACGACCGCAAAGATGAGAAGGTTTGTTTGCTTGTTCAAGTTTTGGAAATCCGAACGCAGGGTCTTCACCACAAAGGTACCACTCCATCGGCCCCAACAAAACATGCTGGGCCAGCATGTCCTCTTTCTGCGGGAAAGGGTTGGGACCCGTGCAGTAGATTCTGGGTACATAGTGCGCTAGGTGCTGGTATACTTCTCTAGTGAGGTCAGTTGCTTGCAGCCATTTCTTTAAAAAAAGAAAAAAAAAAAGTTTTGAACAATGTCAATAAGCTGATAATCTGAACAACGACACCCAGCTTTCTTTTAGGTACAGTAACAATAATATGTGACACTATTGTATATTAGAAATTTCATCTATTAAAAAAAAAAATCAAGGATTTTAGAATTCTACTTAAAAATGAAACAAACCCTCTGCTCATAATGACTCTTGAAGGACTCATCTCTAGGTGCTGGAGGAAAACTGTAAGAAATCCTCCTGTCAGACACCAGCCACGGAACTCAGCTGACTTTTCTACTTAAAGACCAAATTGTTCAGATGGAGCTATGGATTCCCACATCGGTGTGCCCAACACAAGAAAGTGCACACAGCGAGCGTGAGGAACATGCACACCAGTGACAGCTCTCACTGGGTAATAAATCAGTGATCACTCCTACTTATTTATTCTGTACCACGGACTGAACTCATGAGCCCGCGCTGGCCAGGCAGGTGCTGCGCCGCTGAGCTAAGTCCCGTCCCTGCCCGTCCCTGCAAGTGGTGTCTTTTGAACCTGTCAGGCCACAAGGCTTTGTCCCGTCCATTAAGCCTTCTTTCTCTGATCAACCTCTTTCCCAGTCCTTTCCATTTTGCTGTACTACAAACAAAAACCAAAAAGCCACTTTTCCGTCCCCTAGTCTCCCTCCCGCGCTCTCTGCTTTACTAAGCTGTTTTCCACGTCTCGCTTGTGTCCTTCTTGCAAACTGTCTTCTCAGTCCATCCCCTAACTCCCTGCTCTGTATCCTCAGGTGTAAAACAGGACCCAGCCTCATACACTCAGTAAAACTGAATGACTATCAATATACTTATACTGTTACTGTCACAGAATCCTCACGTTCCAGAAAGATGTTCCACAGGGTTTTTGCTTTGTTTTTTGAGACAGGGTCTGTGTAGCCCAGGCTGGCCTCAAACTTGAGGTGATTCTCTTGCCTCAGCCTCCTGAGTGCTGGGATTACAGGTAAGCAACACCACGCTCAACCTCTCAGGATTTTAATGAAAGCAAAGAAAGGGAGATTCAGGCCTTCAGCCTGCATCAGGTATCAATCTCCAAAAACTAACCCCAAAAGCCCTAGAAAGGTGTCCTTCAAACCACTTCCTTTCTTTTCCCTGTTTCACTCCTTCCTTTTATCCTGTCATTTATCTGTGTCTCCTCTGCCATCTGGGTCGATCTGTTTATTTGTCCTCCATACTGCCTTGTGATATGCATGTGATTTTGACTCTAAAATATAAAATCAGAAAACATGAAATGACTTGCTTTTACTAAAATGCAATTTTAGTAAACTGCTAAACACAACTCACAGATTCAATGTTTAGCTATAGATAACTTAAACTCCAATTACATCCTTGTTGAGAAAGAGTAGGGGCTGGGGATTTAGCTCAGCGGCATAAGCACCTGCCTTGCAAGCAGGCGGTCGTGAGTTCGATCCCTGGTACCGATAAAAAAAAGTTAAAAAAAAAAAAAAAAAAAAAAAAAAAGTTAAAAAAAAAAAGTTAAAAAAAAAAAAAAAAAAAAAAAAGAGAAAGAGTGTGTTCAAGTAATGGCTGGCACCAGAAATCAACATAAAGTCTTCATCTTAACTATTACTTGTACAATCTTCAGCCCACTTCCCTCCTTCTAAAAATAACAGAGATTTTAAATATTCATGAAGTGGGATACATTAACATTCTAGTTAATTTCATGTTATTGAACTTTTACTAAAATTCTAAAAATTGTGTTCCTAAAGTAAGAACCTGAATAGAAGCTTATAACCAAATACAGTTAAGAGTCCACCCTAAGGTGGAGGTGAAACTGATATCCAAATGTTGTTATCCTTTGCGTTTGCCTTATGTAAGTAGGAGCGAGGCTAAATCTTGTCCAGCAATCCCAAGATATCAAGGACTTGCCCCGTTGGTGGCTCCGAATCAAAACTGGGTACGTGAGTATGAATGCATGTACATACTCTCAGCTCAGTAATCATAAAACACAAGGTGATCTGTTTTGCTTTGTTTTGTTTTTGAGACAGGGTCTTGCTCTATGTAGTTCAGAGTGGTCTTGAATTTTCTATATACCCCAGGCTAGCTTTGAACTCACAGCAATCCTCCTGCCTCAACCTCTGAATACAGGCATGTGTCACCGTGTCCAGCTAAGGTACTTAAGATAGAAGGCAAAGAGTCACTAACAAGCAAACTCCGACTCTTACTCTGAGCTTAGAGTTTTGTTGGCCCCACCTGAGGGCCAATGTTCAATTTTTTTATCCACTGCTAGCGCAAACCAAAGTACAAACAAAGGTAATCAAATTATCCTATGCAACTTATTCTTTGTGAATAAAAATTAAGTAGTAAGCCTGAAAGAATATAAACAATTTTAATTCACAACAAAAGGTTTTATTTAAAAAGCAATTTTTGTTTTCCTTATATTTTATATTCTCATTTCTTGTAAGACTTAACTTTTTTAGAATTTTAACCTGGGAAGATTAAAAAGCTTATTAAAATAAATTATGTAGATTATGTAGTCTTGGGGTACCAACAATGGACAGTCAACTATCTTCATAGATTCCTTCAATGAAAAAATTTAGAAGCTAGTCATAGCTTCCGGTTAAGAAAAAACATCAGCCACCTTATATAAAACACATTTTTGGTAAAGCAAGTATCTCATCTTAAATATCATTTTATTATATATTATAATAAAAAACTTTTTAAAAATCTGGTTCAAAGGAAGGCAGACATACGTTTTCTATCTTTTAAAAGTTTACTATCAGAGCTGAGTGTGTAGCTCAGTGGTAAAGTATTTGCCTTGTAAGTGCAAGGCTCTGAGTTCAATCCCTAGCACTGCCGAAAAGATACATGAGAAATGTAACACACCTGGGCTCTACTATGGGCACCTTCACGTTAAGCTTATGGACTTCCTCAGTAACAGTTCATGCTTCCGGTTGGGGGTTTAGCTCAGAGGCATAAGCGCCTGCCTTGCAAGCAGGGGGTCATGAGTTCGATCCCCGGTACCAATTAAAAAAAAAAAAAACAACAAAAAAACCAGTTCATGCTTTTCTCAAAGAAACAAAATTTAGAGCTTTCTCTAGTTAGTTCCACTATTATATGATGACCATAACTTTTCTTCAACATGGAAAAATTACTGAGATTCCTAATTTGGATGCATTTTAATTTGTCCTTATTTCAGACATCTGTGGCTGTCACATCCAAGGCCACTAGAGTAGCAAGGATTTACAATCTTATAAATAAAATCACTCATAAGGGAAGTAAAGAAACTGTCAACTCATTCCACTCAAGTAAACAAACCATTAGAACGTTTCCAGGAGCATTCCTTTTATTGAATGCCAAATTTATGCCTTGGGATACAGAGCAAGAATAATAAATGTAAAAATGAAAGAATTTCTAGGTCAGTGTTTTTAATGCAGCACAGAAATATTATCACTCTATAATCAATTAAAATTATATCCTTTAAACACAAGTGGTTTTACTTTTTCAAACAAGGATAAGTAACATGCAAGTTAACAAAACAACACTAGTGTTCCAATGGAATTTTTTTTTTTGGTACCAGGGATTGAACTCAGCCCTGCACTTGCCAGGTAGGCCCTTATGCTGCTGAGCTAAATCTCCAGCCCTCTCTAATTTTGAGAACTACATTAAAAATTTTAAATTCTACTAAGAGTTCTACAAATGAAGTAAAAAGTATTTATCACTATAAACAATACAGAAACTCAGTAATAAAAGACAAAAAGCTTAATAAAAAATAGGCAAGAAAAACACACAAATGACCAATGAACTCACAAAAAGTTCTGTATCATAAGTAACTAGGGAAATGGCAACCAAAATCATGACGAAGCACCCACATCCTACAGAGCAGTTATGATCAAAACACAAGCGCTGGCAGGGATGCGAAGGCACCGAACACTCACACACTGCTGGTGGAAATGTGAAATGAGGCAGCCGCTCCGGAAAACAGTCTGGCAGTTCCTCAAAAGAGTTATTAACATATGACCCAGCAATTCTACTCCCAGGTACACAGCCAAGAGAAATAAAAATGTCCACACAAAAATCTGCATCATGGCAGCGTGGCTCATATATCCAAAAAAGGAGAAACAACCCAAATAGCTATCCATTAATGAATGGGTAAAATGTGCTTTTCCACACAATTGGCAACAAAAAGAGAGAAAGAGTTGACACATGCCACAACATGGATGAACCTCGCAAACATTCTGCTAAAAGCAGCCAGTCACTAATAAATATGATGTAACATGTGGTTCAGTATGAAGACTGCAACGACAGAATTAAGTGTATGTTAAACTGGATTGTGGAGAGAAATATTAAAAGTCCACAATGACGGGGACGGGAGCCAGTCATAAGAGACAATATATTGTACGATTCTAATTCCAGTGCAATGTCCAGAGCAGGCAAATCCATGCAGACAGAACAGATTAATTAGAACTTGGGAGCTTAGAAATAAAACAGGAGTGGTGCTACTGAACACAATTTTGTTCTTGGGGTGATCAAAATATCCTAACACTGACCAGTAACATAAAGTCACAGAATTCTGTAAAGACTCTAGCAACCACTGACTTGAACATAGTATGAGTTGTATCTCCCTGAAAAGGTTTAAAAATTGAAAGCTAAAAATAACCTACAAAGGCCTACAACTTTAATAAAACTAGGAAGACTCAAGTCCAAATGAATACATTTTTTTGTATTTCCCTTAATTTCCTTCCAAATGTCTGCTTGAGAATTTGCACAAAAACTAAAGAGTATGGTGCATACTTATAATCCTGCACTCTCCGGAGGCTGAGGAAGGAGGATTGCAAGTTTGAACACAGCCCAGGCAATTTAGGAATTCAGCAAGCCCACCTTGAAGTTATTAAGGAAAAAAAAAGGCTGAGGCTTAGCTCAATAAAAGAGCCCTGGGTTCAGTCTTCACCATGACACACACTCAAAAAGTAAAAACATTGTCTTTCAGCACTGATTTTATAACTGGTTTCCTCAGGAACTTCAACAAAGTAGAGAAACTCCAATCACTGAACAGCTGGACTTTCAGAAAACGGATAACAGAAGATGCAGCCTGTATCAGTGGGCCGACAGGCACAAAATTCAATGAGCAAATACTGCTGTAAAATAAATAAATCAGATATCTATTACTGTAGACACACGGATAGTGAGGAGCTGTTATTTTCCTGTTTACTTGGAGCATGACTTTCATTTTCTTCTTCGTATCTCTGATAAACATGGGCAAATGGGGGCTGAAAAACCTTGGGTTGTGCAATAATTAAGTTGAAAATAAATGAAAACAGACTCACACCTAACACATTAGTCTTTTAAAAAAATAAAACAAGGCAAAACTCATCACTCACAACTGTATTTCTTTAAACTTTTCACCTCTACTTCTGCCATTCATTTCCACTCGACCTTTACCAATTCACTCAAAATTACTCCCTGACCCACAGCGCCACAGAGCCACCCATCCATTGCTGACTTGTTCAATGGCTCCTATAGCTTAAAGCGGAGGATCTAGCAGTGGGGTTCGAGTTGCTTTGGTCCATTCCTAATCACCATGGATGATGTGTTTTAATAGATGCGCCCCATCTTTATGGGGGGAAAGACACCACTTTATTTACTAACGTAATCTTACAATGCTACAACTTGTATTAGCGTATTTACATCACATACTAAGTTTGAATGGTTTAACTGTGGGGCCTATCTAGCTGAGAACTCTTACTTAAGCTAGTCTGTTGACTAAAATTGTTCTCTCGAAGTTATATAATGTTCATTCTCCATCCAACTTTACACAACTCCTAGAAAAACTGTTTGATTTTCCAGCTTCCACTCCGACTTTTTCGTGCTCGCTTCTAGTGTACTTTCCACACATGCATCAAGAATGCACTAACTCAACCGGTGCAAAAATAGAAGACAAAAAATTTATAAGCACGAAATAGGGGAACAGTGCTGTAACGCTTGGATAGTCCCAGAAACAAAGTCGGGACATGGGCAGCATGCTTCAGTGGACGCGGCACTGACGGCTCCACGTATTCCAGAAGGACTCGGAAAGGTAAAGTGGGACGGCTACCCTGAAAACACCGAGACGTCTCTTTCCCTCCCCTCTTCCAAGTGTTGGTATAAAGGGCAAAGGCCAATGTGTCCGGGACTTCGTGGAGTGTGCAAAGGAGGAGGAAGAGTGCAAAAGCTGTGGGTTCGCCAAACAGATGGCAAGGTGGCCAGGGCACAGTACAGCTCCGGATCGGTGGCCTCCCCGCGGACTCGGCCGTCACCCGCGCCAGCGCCGGCAGCCCGGGGAAGTGGGGGTCTCCAGGAGCCAGTTCTCTTGGGGCACCGCCCGCCCCGACCCCGCCACTCACCCCCGCGGTCTCCTCGGCCGAACATTCCAGCAAAGTGCGGTCGAGGGCCTGCCCCTCGGGATCCAGGTCCGACGCCATCTTCCCTGCTGCTCCTCGTCCTCGTCCCCAGCGTTCCCGCAGTCCGGGGGCTGCAGCCTGGTCTTGGCCCCAGCAGCCGCGACGGTCCCCCGTGCTCCGGGCCGTCGGTCCGGGACCGTCCAAGCGCTACGCTTGGAGGGGGAGAGACGATAAGGACGAGAACTCGCGGGAGTGACGGCGGCCGCCCGCAATCGCTCCCGGGCTCAGCGCCCAGGAGCCAAGTCACTGCCTCGTCCCTGACTCGGGAGAGGACACAGAGAGCCCCGGGCCTGGCACTCTGCTAGCCGCTACCGCGTCCCGCACCGTGAAAGAGGCTAAAAACACCCAGTGCGAGAAGCAGAGTATTCTGGGTACTGTAGTCATCGCTGCGCGCATAGGCGGGACGCCCTCAGGAGCTTACTGAGCATCATGGGAGTTGTAGTCCATTTCGGAATTCGGAAAGGGCGGGAAATGGGGCGGGGCTTTTATGCGCCTCTGGAATCCTGGTTACGGACTGGAGGAAAGAAGCCCCTACCATGGAGAGAAGCCAAAAGAAACGATCAGTGTGGGAATTGTAGTTTCATTCTGCAATATCATTTATTCATATTTACTCATTTTTGTGTCTGCAGCTCGAAGAGCAGTGCCTGGCGCGCGGTAAACGCTGAAGTACTTGTTGAAGTCTGGTATGTAGTAGACTGTCAATGGTTGTCGGAGGAATGAATGAATTGCGTTCTATTTCTATAATTCTAACTCCCTATTATCCATCATAGTCTCGTACTTACACTAATAACTGAAGCGACTATTACCCAAATTTGTTAACGTTTTAAAACATATTTTTACCTGGACATGTTGGCGCATGCCTGTAAACCCAGAACTCAGTAGGCTGAGGCAGGACGACTGCTGGAGGTCAAAACCACCCTGAACTATACGGTGAGACCCTGTCTCTAAATAAATATATATATATTTAAATATACTAAGCTATTTAGTTATGGCCACTCGTAAAGAAAAAGGTGTTTAACAATCCAGTTTAATTAAGATTTACTTTTTAAAAAAGATTTACTCTTGATAGGGACATTGGATAGAAATAGATAATTATTGTTACACTACATGCAAAAACATTGGCTCACTCTAGGACAATTGGGTGACCTGGTTTCTTTGCATAAATTTTTAGTTTCTTCAGAGTTTTTCAGCAAACTTACACATTTTATTATGTACGTTAGTTTATTCCCAGAAGGAAGTTGTGAATTACATATAGAAAAAGTGAGTTCTTACCCAGACAAGGTTTGGGACATGTCTATGTTCTTATTGTTGTTAACAGTAGTGTTAGAGACTGTTGAGGCTGAGCACATGTGCAGGACTGTAGCCTGGCCCTGGCCTGACTGAACTGAGAATGAGAATACCTCAGGGGGCAAGATAGGCCACAACTCAGGCCACCTGGAGACTTTCTGGATCATTTTCCTTAATTAGCATCATCTGGTGCTCTGAGGGGTCCTTTAAACCCCTCTCAAGATCCTGCTCAGGTTTCCACCATTGTCCACTTAACTCCTTGCTTGTTCTGATTAAATACCTCTCGATGGCCAGGTAGCAGTATTTCACTCCTCCCTCAGCCCTAAAGATCCTTTGAGTAAAAAAAAAAAAAAAAAAAAGATCCTTTGAGCCTTTGCCATGCACCCATTTGGGGGATCGGGAGCCTGGGCACAGAGCCCAATACAGTAGTATTACCCAAGTTTTCAAAAGAGGAAATAAAAATAACTCATAATCACACAGTCCAATTAAACTGTATTTTCACTTTAAAAATGATAATCTCTGAATAATATCAGGAACTCAAAGGCAATAGAATGTTTTTAAAAGGAAAAATTGAATACTTTCCATTTCTCTTATTCCCAAACCCTTCTCCATTCCAAAAGCCATTTTAACACTGTGATTCTGTTCAGAAAACAAAATATACACATATATCTGCATGAATCCACGTAATGTGATAGCCTGAAGGTTATTTTATGTATTACTTTCTTTTTTGGACCAGCTTTCTTGACCCTCCACTTACTGGTAGAATCAGCCTGGAGGAAAATGGATTGTTAACACCTGGAAGCAAAGATAGTGTCTCTTGAGATCCTAACACTATAAATCATTAAAATATATGGTAAAGAAAATTTCTGGGGCCGGGATTTAGCTCAGTGGTATAAGCGCCTGCCTTGCAAGTGCATGGTCATGAGTTCAATACCCAGTACCAAAAGAAAAGATCTTAACATTATTTTATTCCTTCTACTACTTTTAGACTGATTTAAATATATTCTTTTGCTAAGTCCTTGAGTTGGATATTTAAGTTACTAATCTTTCTCTGTTTTTCAAGATACACATCTAAGGAGGTAGTTTTCAAACTTGAACATATGTAGTACGTTGACAAAACACAGATTTTTCAGGCCCCAGAAATTGAATCTCTGAGTCAGTGGGTTTTGAGTAGACCCTGAAATTTGCATTTCTCTCAGAGTCCCTGGTCATTCTGCTGGAGTGAGGGCCAGCATTGAAACCAACAGATCTATTATACAGCCCCTCTCCCATTTTATACTGCTTTAACTGCATTTCACAGAGCTTGGTATGTAGCATTTCCAGTATCATTGACTTTTAAATATTTTCTAATATATTGTGATTTGATCTTTGACATATGTAGTGTGTTTTTAAGTTTCCAAATGCATACAGCTGTTTTGCTATCTTTTGTCACTGAGTTCTCATTACAGTTTTTTTTTTTTTAAACTTTTATCGGTACCGGGGATCGAACTCACGATTGCCTGCTTGCAAGGCAGGTGCTTATGCTGCTGAGCTAAATCCCCAGCCTCTATCATTACAGTTTTCTATTTTCTGGATTTGCGATGCTTATGGTATTTGTCAGCTTTTATAATTTTATAATGTTTTGATTTCCTCTTGTCTTGTAAGTAATAGATATTCATTTTCATAACTATTTTTGTATTTGTAGTTTTGAATTTTTATTCTTTAGTGTTCCCCAACTTGTTTAAGCTTCAGGCCCATCAAATCTTTCCAGGTACACAGCTGACGTTCCTAAATCTCTTCTTTCTCTTTGGTATTCTCCACTTCTGTATGCTTAAGACTTTCCCTTCTTCCTGTGTGGAAGTTTACGTTTGCTGTGTTCTCGGTCTTCTTACCTTCTTCTTTCTGGGGTTCCCCCTTGTTTTGGTGGAGCATTTATTCCAGTAGCTTCCTAAGAGAAATTGCATGAGAAATTCATTTCTGAGACTTTGCAATTACCTAATTATCTTTATCCTACTCTCTCATTTGATTGACAGTGCAGTGTACCCATCTAGATTTGTGGGAAATAATTTTCCTGTAGAATTTTTTTGGAGACAGGCTTCCACTATGCAGTATAACCTGGCCTTAAACTCATGATGAGGGCTGGGGATACAGCTCAGCGTCACAAGCACCTGCCTGGCAAGTGCAATGTCCTGAGCTTGATACCTGGTACAAAAAAAAAAAAAAAATACCAAGACTGACCTCAAACTTGCATCAGTCTTCTTATCTCAGCCTCCTGAATGCTGGAATGACAGGGACGTACCACCATGCCTGGCTCTTCCTTTAGAAATTTGAAGGGATTTCTAAATATGTAGTCTTCTGGCTTCCAGTATTGCTAATAAGAAATTTAGTCATTCTGATTTCTCATCTTTTATTTGTGATCTATTTTTCTACCTCTGGAAACCCAAGTGATCTTCTTTTCATCCCCAAGATTCTGAAATTTCATAATAAGACACTAAGACTTGATGTAGATTAATTTCCATCCATTGGTGCTGATTACTAAGTAGCCTCTATCAATTGTAAAACTTACATCTTCACAGTTTGGAAATTTTTTTTTAAAATCTTTTTACAAGGGGCTGGGGATTTAGCTCAGCGGCATAAGCACCTACCTTGCAAGCAGGCAGTCATGAGTTCGATCCCTGGTACCGATAAAAACAAAAAAGACCAAAAAAAAAAAAATCTTTTTACAAGTAATGTTTTCCCCTATTTTTCTTCCTGGAACTCCTGAGCTAATCTTCTGTATTTCTTATCTTTTCTTTCTTATTTTCATCTCTTGACCTTTGCTGTTCTTCCTGAGTGATTTCCTAGACTTCATCTTTAATGCCTTAAATGAGTGTTTTATTTCTCCTTTCTATTTTTAATTTCCAAGAGCTGTTTTTTTCTTGACTATTATCTTTTAAAGAACATATTGCTGTCTTTCCTCCTTCTCCACCTTCTCTTCCTCTTCCTCCTCCTTTTTCCTCCCTTCCTTCTTCTCCCATCAGGAGAGAGGGCTCCATCTCACTATGGTTTTCTGTTTTTAAAAAATGTATTATTCTGGGCTGGGGGTTTAGCTCAGCGGCATAAGTTCCTGCCTTGGAAGTGTGTGGTCATGAGTTCAATCCCTGGTACTGATTTTTTAAAAAATGTATTATTCTTATTTTGTGCAAAGATTTAAAATGTGAGCGGGGATTTTTGGTCCTTACTGTCAAAGTTTTCTTCCCTCCTATGTAGCTTCTGCTTTGTCTTGGTTTCTTTCTACTTTTTCCTATTGATTTTAGTCCCTATTTTCACACGAGATCATAATTATCGGCTCATCTTTAAGTGGGGGAGTCTAAAAGCCTGGCAAGATGTCCTGAGACCAGGGGTAGGAGCTTAATGAGTTGTAAAATCTGGCATAGGATAATCTGTCTGGGTATTACACTGGCCAACCTATGGGGTCAATTTCTTTAGGTCTTTCCTCTGTCTAATCAGATTTCTCCCCGGGCCTTTGCACATATCAATTATTACTGTCACTTGTGCCTGTGGCAACAGTAGTTGGAATCTATGTAGTGGAGCTGACACCCATAGGGTCTGCAAATACTGTACAATTGAGCATTTGAAATTAGAATGCATTGAATATGGTTCTTCCCTGTCCGCCTGTCCTTTCTTTTTTTCTTTTTTGAGGCAGGGTCTGTGTATGGTCTCAGGCTGGCCTCAAACTCATGGCAGTCCTTCTGGATCAGCCTGCCAAGGGGCAGGACTTACAGCTGTGCACTACCACGCCCAGCTCCTGCCTGTCCCTTATGTGTCCCTTCACGCCTCTGTTAGTGGATGTACCAGGAGCCACTTAGGTTGTACCTGCTGTTGCTCCCTTTGGTGGGGAACAGTCCCTCGGCTGTAAAGGGCCGAGCTTTGACCAGTGGGAGCCATTGTATAAAGAAACAGGTTCGGAGCAGCTATGTAAAAGGAAAAATAAAAAGAAGATTCAACCAAAGACTTCTTAATGCGATTTTGTATACAGACGGTCATATTTAGCATTGCCTGAGCCTCCTTCCTCCCCTTCACGATTTGACTCCCAAAATGTTAGTTTGCCATTTATAACTTACTTGCCGCTTTCTTAATTTTTTTTCAGTTTTACTTTAATTTCTGGTGAATTGTGAAATCATAAATTCCTGTCCCAGGTTACTCAGTGAATTGGTCACTGACATTGTTTAAAACCCAAAAAGGCAGAGAAAAATTTTAGAGAAAAAATTTCATTTTAGACTCCTGTGCTTACTGCATAGTTTTACTAGTTCCTAATTCTTTGTCCAGTGTTTGTCCCAACCCTTCACTTGTATTTTAATCAAAGCAAAATTTAAAACTCCTTTTTCGTATTTATCACCTCTCTTCCTAGCTGAATGCCAGCCTCACCTGGCAACCTGGGGAGTTGGCTCATGGATTTATGAGACTCTTACCTGTACCCCATTAACTCTACTCTTGCGTGGGTCCTGCTGCCCCTGAGTTATGTGACAGGTATCACAAGAGTAAAATCCTCAGCTTCAAAATAAAGGAGGTCAATCCCTCTTTTATTTGCCCCTTGGGAGAAATGAACAAACGGAGAGTGCCGTCTTATATTTAGATTATAAGTTCATTCTTGAATCACACAAGCTAGGAAATCATTCGCAGACTGCGTACTAGCTAATCAGGAATGCTGTACTGTGTACGGCTTCCTAAGAAGCTTCCTCGGAGTTGCTTTTATTGAATTAAACTCTAATTGTTTGGAGGCCATGCTTTGGCCCCCATGGGCTGTACGGCAGTGAAATATAACCTACTCTTCCGCCACAGCGGGCCCATTACCCTCCGGGCACTGCAGTGTGCTGGGAATGGCCAGTCTCACGGGGCTGGTGAAAGTGGCGTGCTGGCTGTTACATAACCACCTTGGCCCCGTGCCCAGGCCAGGCCAGGCCCACTGCTGCACGATCACCACGCGCCCGCTTGCCAGCCTCCGTTTCACCACCCTCTGTCTATCCACAGCTCTGCTCCAGGGATTTGATGGGTATCTTCATGAGAAACCAGGAGCTGAGTTCTCTCAGAAGTACCAATTAGATCTTCAGCGTTTTGCCCCAGGCACGCAAAATGCCAGCAGCAGAGCCAGTGTGTAAACATCAACCACAGCCCCGAAACTGGAATCCAGGAGAGAAAGTCCTGTTGTACCTCTGGAGCCCCGGTGAAAGACGTGGGACTGCCTTCAAATCCGCTCTCTGAGGCCCTTGTCCTCCTCTGAATTAGCCCTCCACCCAGGGTGTCAGAGGACCACCTCCCAGGGAGGTTTTGGACTTGACGGTGGCCTTTGGCAAAAACCCTGCCTGGGTCAGAAGCCTGCACCCCCTGCAATGATGCTGCGAGCCTGCAGGGGCCGCTCGTGCCCAGGCCTCGCCTCCCGCCGTGTAGGGAGGACCCGCCAGCATGAGGCTGGCCTCTCCCATCGCTGAAGGGCCTCTGCTCTAAAAGCCGAGCTTACGTTGCTTTAAACGACCGACCGCGTTGTACAGCGAGCGCCGCACGTTTAAACCCCAGAAGTACTTGATGTCCCGAGGTTGTTTTAAGCTCCATAAACAGCTAGGGACCGACATTCAAAGGGAGCATGCCAGGGACTGGAAGTCCTTCCCTCTCCTCCGGCCTCTTGGGTTAGCAGATGCATGCTGCAGACTCCAGCGCCGCGGACGCTTGCTTATTAATGTCTGTGCCAGCTTTGTAGTGGAAGGGGGCTGAGGCCAGCAGGCCCAGCCTAGTCCACGGTGATTAGGGACTGGAGGTGGAGCTGGGAGGACCTCTTTTCATTCAAAAACTTATTCATTCATTCATTCATTCATTCATTCATTCATGCTTGTACTTGGAATTAGAACTCATGACCTAGCATTTGCCAGGCAGGCGCTGTGCCACTGAGCTTTATCCCTGGTGCTGAAAAGCTAGAAAAAATAAAGCAACTGAAGACAAAGTTCAGGTGCAGTTGTTCCTGGGTTATCTGCAAGTAATATGTCGTCACTGTATGGAGTCGTTTCACTGTTAGGACACCTGTGGAGGTCCTGCTGTCCCCGATTATACCATATTGCTCAGAAACCGATTTTCCACTGTGCTCGAACCCTGGCAACTGCTAGCTTTGCCACGGGAGACCTATCTAAGACAGACTGTCAGATGTAGCGAGTGGAAATACAAGACACCCTGTTAAATTTTAATTTCAGACATACAAAAATTTTTTTTATTGTGTGTCTCTCCCATATTGCATGGGGCCTCCTAAAAATCAATTTGTTCTGTTTGTGAAATTCAAATTTAAGCGACTGTCGTGTATTTTATTTGGCAAGCCTGTTAGAAGAGAGCTCAATCAAAGACCTGAGATCCTCCATACCATTGTACAGACAGTCCACCATTAAGGAATGGGTATATTTTTTTCATAAATGATTCATGAGTATGCACCAATATTTATATATGTGCTCAAGTCCTGGCTTCTCCAATTGCTGAGTGACTTTAAAAGAGTTATTGTACTTCTCTGGGTCTAGTTTCCTTACCTGTAAAATGAGAATAACAGTTCCTGTTCAGAGTATTCATGGGGCTTAAGTCTGTGGCATAGGAGGTACTGAGTGATTGTTATTGCTTACCAAATTACTATCAATGTTTCTATTATCAACAGTGATAAAAATAGTGATAATGATTATGATTTTTTTTGCGGTGGTAGAGATCAAATTCAGGGTCTTGCATGTACTAGGTAAGTGTTCTTCCATTAAACCACATTCCCAACCCCATAACTATTATGACCGTCATATAGCATATCTTAAAATTTTAATGAGAGCCTCATTTGAGTTCTTTTATATCTTCCTTTTCTCATCTTTTGTATCTTGTTCCTATATTCTTTTTCACAGATGCATAGAATTCCTAGTAAAAATTGAAGTCTACTTCTTCTGGTTTATAGCTATGTGGCTCCCCCAAAGCCTCCTGGGCTCATAGTTGTGGTTATAGTTTGTGTCTGGATGTCCCCCCCCCAAAGCCTCATGTGATCATGGGGGTGGGCTTTTTGGAGGTGGCTGGATCTAGAGTTTGTGATTGGTTCATTGTCTGGTGCTGGGAATGGCTGTATGAGCCAGCATCCTGCATCTAACATAAAGAAAGAAATGGGCTTGCTCCTCTTTCTGCTCTTGTGGCTTTTCCTGTTTTCTGCCACTATGAACTGTTGCCCTATACCATGTGTCACTCTGCCTTGGAGCCAGGTGAGTATAGACTGAAACCTCCACAAACTGAGAGCTAACTAAACCCATAATTTTGAGCTAACTAATCCCATAATTTTGGGCGTCAGGTATTTTGTCTCTTCAATGAGAGAAAATTAACCAAGATAGTTGGGACTTTGAAAGGTGACTGAATCACAGGTACACTATCGCTAGAGGCTGTTAGGAGGCGGAGGTGGCTCACCCAGGGAGTGGCCGGGAAGGGTGTCTTTCCCTCCCTGGCTCCTCCCTATGCTCTCCACTTGCCAGCCACCACAACTTGAACAATTTTCCCTCACCCATGTAAGGACTGAAACTTTTGGAACTTGAACCAAAACAGATCTCTCCTCCTTTAAGTTGTGAGTGTCCAGTATTTCTTCTCAGAGCTGAGAAAGTACTAAAGATATTACGCATGGTGATTTAGGTTATTTTCACACCTTTCTGTCTGAATGTGGTTGCGGTGAACACCTCGGGGTCTCCATTCCCACCACTCCCACCTGCTTTACCTTCCCAGAGAAGGAACTTCCTGTCTTTCACCAGGGAGATGGGAGGGTATCCAAGCCTCTTAGCTGCTGCTGCTTCTGCTTGTGCTTTGTATTTTCAGGGCCAGGGATGGAACCCGGGGCCCCCATTTGCTGGGCAAGTCCTCTACCCCTGAGCTGCGCTCTCAGCCCCGAGACCCTCGGCTCTCTTTCCTTTGTCCTTCACGTCCAAAGGTGAGTGGATCCACCAATTCCTGAAACTTGGGAGGCTTCTGTACTATAAGTTGGCTTGATTCTTCTTTCCTTATGGCAACATTGGTATCCTATTGTTTCTGGACTGAGTCATAAACTTACAGGACAGCCATTTATTTTTGTATCTTTATTTTGTTCTTGGACAGTGTAGTACATTTTCTTACTTTTACCTTCCCAAAGCACACAATCATAACGCCTGCAAATAATGAAAATTTCCTTTTCCTTACCAATTTTCATACTCCTGTTTCTTCCCCTTCTCTAATTACAGAGGTTTTCGCCTTTAATACAACATTGTGTACATCCTTGGTTTTTTTTCCTGGGATTTTCTTGGTATTTCACTATTAAACAGGGTGCTGGTTTTGGTTTGTCTGTGCACATTTATTTTTTATTTATTTATTTATTTTGTCTTTTTCCTTTTTACCGGTACCAGGGATCAAACTCACGACTGCCTGCTTGCAAGGCAGGCGCTTTATGCCGCTGAGCTAAATCCCCAGCCCCTATTCCTCTCTTTTATTAAGAGGTTTTTTTTTTTTTTTTTTTTTTTGAGACAAATGAATGTTGAACTTCCCCAAATACTCTTTTTTGACTTCTGTAGATGCTTTGTTTCTTTTTGGAACAAGGTCTTGCTCTGTAATCCAATCTGGCCTTGAACTTGCTATGTAGCCTGCACTGGCCTTGAACTTGTATCCCTATTATATCAGCCTCCCGGGTGCTAGGATTACAAGCCTGCACAACTATGCCTGGTTTTCCATATGGATTTTTAAAATATATTGTTCATAAGTGAAATTCGCCTGTGGTTTTCTTACTGATACTGCATGTTTCAGGTTTTGGTATGAATATGATACTGGCTTTTAAAAAGCAGGATCTGAAGGGAAGGTAGAGGATTGAGGGGAAAAAAGAGGGCTCAAGATATATTATGTACAGGCACAAAGGCACTATGATGAAGACTATCATTATTGTGTGTGTAAAATGTACCGATAAAATTAATTTTAAAAAGAGGAAAACAGTATCTGAAGGCTCGCTTTCTCCTTGGGTTTAACAGCTTTGGAGTATCTGGTGAGGAATTAAAGAGCTGCAGTGTCCAGCTCTTGAACAGATTGCCCTGATACCTTGCTTCCAATCAAGCCCAGTCTGCAGGGGGAATTTCTGCCTCTAACCAGAGGGACGCACTTGCTGCCAGCTTTGAAAACTGTAGTGGCAGCAGGCACAGAAATGTTGAATGAAAAATGTAAAATTGACTTTCTGGAAGCTTTAGGAAGCCGGAAAAGGAGGAGAAGGAAAAGGAAAAGGAGGAGGAGGAAGTTAATTGTGTTGTTTGGACAAGAATTCAGTTCAACAGACCATGTTATTTTGCAGGCAACCATAAGACAAGCCTGATAAAATAGGACAAAGGAAAAGGCATTTCTACTGCTCCTTTTTCCAGAAAGCCTGGGTCCCACAACTCTGTGGTTCCCCTGGAAGCTTTGGTGGATGCTGTCCCGAAGGAAACCCATGGGACCCTCTTCCTACCACTGGAACACGGTCTGAGGTTGGCAATGCTGGCGGACAGCAAAGCACTGCATTAGTGAAGTGATTTGCTGTTTCCTCTGATAACCGCGGTGTTTAATTTATTGTCTTGGCTTCACTGAGCTAACTTAGGACCTGATAATGTCTCATAGTTTACTGCCTGAAGAGACACTGAAGTGGAAGGTTCTAGAAAGAATTCAAGACAGTATAAAGAAGAAACTTCTGGTACTCCTGCAGATGGAAATGGTTCCCCTCCACAAGCTTAACTTCACCACCAAGCCATGATTGAACTGGGTGACTTAGTTTTCCAAATCGACAGCTCTATGAAAAACAATTATTAAAGGCCGCTGCTTCATCAAGCATGGCTGCACTGAGACAGCATCGTCCTCATTGTGGCTAACTGCATTGCTCAGGCTAAGAGGCCCTTTACTATTGGCGCAGGGCTCCAGGTCAGAAAATGCGTTCCTCTTTGAGCTAGTAGCATAGCTAGACGACCTAATGAAAGAGTGGAAGATTTTGAGATGTTTGCAATCTAGATTATTAGCAAGACTTCCCGTGCTGATGACAAGAAAGCAGTGCTTGTTTTCGTGGTTGGTATGTTTTTCAAGAGCAGGTGCATGGGGATATATATGTTACATGCACTTTTGTTGCCAATGAGCACCGTGGCTGGGGGAAGATTACCTTCAGGAAAACCGACTTGGTTATTGTGTGTCAGTGAGTGGCTGAACAGCTTTCTGATTGTGCTACTTGGGTCAAAGAGTTTGTTTTGCATGTGAATCTACACACTGTGCCACCCACAGAGAAATTCTGGCAAGCTGAAAAATGTCACCGGAACTTAATAACTTTTTGCAGGGTGTGATTAAAATTGTCAACCACATTAAAGTAGATGCCCTTAATGCACGTCTGTTCGTGCAGCACTGCAAGGAGAGGGATGAGAGCATATGTGTCTCCTCTAATGCATAGATGTGAGCTGGCTCACTAAAGGTATTTCTCTGGCCAGAGATTTCTTTTTCAAAAAAAAATAGTCATCATTGGTGGCACATTTCAGTGTCACAGAATGGTTCCAAAACTCACTGATATGACATATTCAACCTGCTGATTGAACTCAATCTGTCATTTAAGGGGCGAATGACAACTGTGTTCAAGTTGGCAGATAAAATTGCCGCATTCAAAGACAAACTGGGATTTTGAGGGTGACAAGTGAACATGGAGATTTTTGACGTGTTTCAATTGTTAGCGGAGATTTGGAAAGAGACTGAGTCAGGGCCTTATTTCTCCCAGCTGGAGCACAATCTCCCATCTTAGCTTTCGAAAGAGTTTGAGCATTGCTTCTCAACCACAGAACACTCTCGAATGGGGAAGAGATGGGTCCGTGGCTTGATTGGGAGACAGCCAGCTGATTGGACTTGCTCTGTGTTGGGAGGGGATCAGTGCTTGAGATTGCAAGTAATGATGGTCTTGAAAGTACGTCTGGGACACACTCCCATGCATTCTTGACATTAAAGTTAAGGCAGAGCATCCTGAGATTGACACACAAGTCCTGAAAAGCCTGCTTCCATTTCTAACATCCTGCCTTTGTGAGGCAGGGTTTTCTGCAGTGACAGCCACCAAAATGACATTATGAGTAGATTAGACATGAGCGACACCCTTCAGGTGTCACTGTCTCCCATCACCCCCAGATGGGACCATCTAATTGCAGGAAGACAAGCCCAGGGCTCCCATTGATCCTGCATTATGTGAGCTTTGGAATTATTTCATTATATATTACAATGAAATAATAATAGAAATCAAGTACAAAAATTTAATGTGCCTGAATCATCCTGAAATCACCCCAAACCCGTGGAAAAATTCTCTTTTACAAAACCAGTTCCTGGTGCCAAAGAGTTGGGACCAGCAGTTCTAACAGAGTTGAAGACTGCAAGGTCAGCCTCTTGCCCACTAGGGGGCCTATTAAAGAGCTTGGGACAGAAGACAACGCCTGAGAGGAGCAATTGTTCCCAGTAGAGGGGTTGGTGCCACCAAACTCCTGGACTAAGTCAAATCCTGTAAGCTCCACCAGACGACTTCACCTGGGCCCTGGCACTAAACACTGATATGATCCTTCGGGAAAAAGCAGTGTGATTATAGAAAATACTTACGGAGTGCCCAGTCTGTGTCAGACACTGTGCTGAATGTCTCTTGCATATTATCTCATTTAAATCTTCACCGCAACTCTGCACAGTACCATTATGTCTATGTTCATAAGGAAAACAAGGGCTAAAAAGATGAAGAAGACAGCTAGAGCCACAGATCTGGACAAGACAGGGCTGGAACCCAGGAACTCTGCTTTGGGAAGTGCGAGCCTCTGCACCACTGAGGTTGTCGTCCCAGAATAGACTTTGACCTCTGCTTGCAGTTGTTGGATTTTACTCAAGGAAATGATAAGACAATGGCCTGATTCAGAACAAAGTAGATCTAAAAACCTTAATGCCCTGTTCTGGTAGGAGAACAAGCAAGTAAACTGTTCACATAGAATCACTTACATTGCCCAGGGTTTTGTTTTTGTTTTTGCCAACTACACTAATTTTCCTGGGATAAACTCTTGGTTATGATGTAGTATTCTCTTCTATATTACTGATTTAAGTTTTCTAATCTTTAAGGATTTTTATACAAGTATTAACTTCCTGAGGAGTAAGGTATACATGCAGGTGTGTGTGTGTGTTTGAGTTTTGGTGCTGGGGATCAAACCCAGGGCCTCACACATACTTACACAGCCGTAAAACAAAGTCACATGTAATAGCAAAGAGTGCTGATCTAGAAGTTATTTATTGAAATGGAAAAGTCTCTATTAGGTTTAAAAGTAAGTTAGAAGCTAAGCGCAGCAGCACACACCTGTAATCCCAGCATTGAAGGAGGCTGAAACAGGAGGAGGCTTGCAAATCTGAGTGAGACCTGGCTGGACATGGAGCTCAGTGATGAGCTGCCCCTGAGTCCAGTGCTCAGTGCTGCCAAAAAGGAAAAAAAGTTAGAAAACACATTCTGTTCAGTATCCAGAAAGCAAAAGTCTGAGAGAGAACACTAAACCATCAACAGTTGGCTAACCCTGAGGGGAAGTTCAAGAATTTTAATTTTGGGGGCTGGGGATTTAGCTCAGCGGCATAAGCGCCTGCCTTGCAAGCAGGCAGTCGTGAGTTCGATCCCCGGTACTGATAAAAAGGAAAAAGACAAAAAAAAAAAAAAAAGAATTTAATTTAAAAAAAATTTTTCATCTTTACATTTTTCCTTGTAGTCTAATTTTTCTATCATGTATCTTTTGGGTAATTTTTTTTTTTTAATCGGTACCAGGGATCAAACTCACAACCGTCTGCTTGCAAGGCCAGTGCTTATGCCGCTGAGCTAAATCCCCAGCCCCTTGGGTAATGTTTTTAAAAAGAAATTCAAACTAAGATAGTTTCACAGGTTGTGAAAGAACAAAGCCCACTTATAGGAAGTGGGAGGAATAAGTGGGAACTAGTGTTTGAAATTGTCCTGGGCACTAATTTTAGCTTTAAAACTCTTGGCAGCCAAAGGAAAAAGAGAAACATCTTGGCTTTGTGTAATTTTCACATGTTTTAGGACACAGCCTCTCCAGTGGCTTTCTCCATGGATCATTGTTCGCTACTATGAACTACAGCGGCTGCCCCACCCCTTCACCCTACTCTGGGTCACCAAATGCATTTCTCTCAACAGGACCCTCACCCTCACCCTAACCCTAAGTGTGTGCTGAGTGTGCGCTGAGTACCTCTGGCACGGCAGGCCGGAGCCCAGTGCTGTCTTCTCTACCTTGAAGCAACAATCAGATTCCTAGCTCCTGCTCAGCGCCCATCTGGAATCACATCCATACATATCCTTCCAGTTCTTAGGTCTGCTTCAAGCCCCTCCACTGCTCTCCAGTTCAAACCAAGTGCCCTCTTTTGAGAGCCCTGTGATTCCCAATTCAGTACCTACACATCCCCCCGTCATTGCATAAGCAACCACTGGACTCCACTGGCAGACTGGAGGACTGCATGAGGAGGTCTCACCTGGATCGCACCCTGGAATTGGCACCCTAGAGTTTAAGGGGAGACCAGACAGCTACTAGGAGCTATGAGTCCAATTAGCCTTGGGCTTTCCCCGTTTTATCACTGAAAGTTCTGCACCCAAAAAAGTCACTTAAGTCTTGGCAAGATAGCTAGGCAGCTGGGTATGGTGGCACAGACCTATGGTGCCACCAGCTGCTTGGGAGGCTGAGGCAGGAAGATCACTTGAGCCCAAGAATTTGAGACCAGCCTGGGAACCAGAGTGGAGACTGTGTCTAAAAAAGAAAGTGGTGCACTCTGTGCATTTATGGCCACTCCCCTTTGCTTGATTGCTTGGATTGTTTAGTATGGTAAAATCCTTCCTGGGTATATGCTCTTTTTCAGCCGCACTATGTTGACAAAACCCCTTGGAATGCTTTTACAATCCTAAGCAAACTCGAAGCAGGAAATGACAGGGAGTGTTTATCCAGTGAGGAAACTGAGGCTGAAAAGAATTTTGTGAATTTCTCCAGATAGCAAGGACTGGCCAAAATTACGAGCTAGGTCTTTTGACCCCTAATTGGGCCTCTCTAGGATTTGAAAATACTCACCATGCCCTTCGTCATTTCATGTAATTGCAAAAGAGCTTTGTGAAGAAAACCACAAAATGTAGTTTGAGATCCAAAAGACTCACACAAGTGAAACCTTGAATGTCCTATTTTGAGTGTGACAATTAAATGTGGTAATTATCCCCCCTGTTCATTGATCTAAATTGAATGCAATTTTATCTTTTTTTATTTTTTGGTGCCAGGTATCAAACTCATGACCTTGCACTTGCCAGGCAGACCTACTTCATGCTGCTGAGATATATCCCTGGCCTTGAATGCAACAAGGTCTTGCTATGCAGTTTGAGCTGGCCTTGAGCTCACTTTATAGCCCAGGCTGGTCTCAAACTTGCAATGGTCCTCCTGCCTCAGCCTCCAGAGTGCTGGGTTTACAGGTGTGAGCCACCACGCCTGGCTTTGAATACAATTTTAAATAAAATTCCAACAAGATTTTTCTTGTGATATTAGCAAAATGATTTTAAAGTTCATCCTACCTCTCAAGACAAGTTTCTGGAAAACAGTAATTATAAGGGGGGAAGTTATATTATGGGATTAAAAGTTAATAAATTGCAGTGATGAAACCGTGCAAGGGCATAGAATTCACTGAACAATGAATTTTCTTTAAAAAATCTAAATGAAAACTCAAAGTATTTAAGAAATTTGGTATACAGTAAAAGTGGCTTAAGTAATTAGAGAAATGACAATTTAATCAGTAAATGATGTTGGGTGAACTGGCTGATTATCTGAATGCAAATAAAATCAGGTCTCTATTCTCAAAATACTAAAATACATTTCAGATGACTTGCATCTTTTAATATAAAAAGCAAAGGTACAAAAGAACCAGAAAAACCAGTAAATATTTATGTGGCCTTTTTATGTAGAAAATCTCTAAATATAACACAAAAGGCAGATACCGTTAAGGGCAAAACCAGATTATATTTGACTACACAAAAAAATCCATTTGCAAAAAGTACAATAGAATTGACAGTGTGGGAAAACCCTTTGCTGCCTTTCTGACAGACAACTTAAAAGACTTCTTATAAATCATTAAGAAAAAGACACACTAATAGGAAAATTGCAAAGGACAACTTACCAGAGAAGCACAAATGCAAGTAAAATTATTAAAAAATCTGAACACGTGGGGGGGGGGACAAAAAAAAATCTGAACACGAAATAATCAATTGAAAAGAAATAAAAACAAAAAGAACTCTTTCTCTTTTTTTTCCTTTCTCTTATAAGCAATAATCTTTTCCTGCTCAGGTTCGGACAGCAGGCTTTCTAGAAAGCTGGTTGTAGCAGGAACCAAAGGCCTTGTCAACATGCATAGTTTTTGATTCAGCAACCACATAGAAATGAGCTTTACGGGAATAATCAGAGATATGTGCAAATGCCCCTTACAATTATGTCCAGAGGAATTTTGTCTACTGGAGTTAAAAGGAAGGAAGAACCTAGATGTCTAGTTCCAAATAAATGATAATGTAGTAGCTACGTAGAAAAGGGCACAGTCGAAGGAGGATATTAAGCAATTGGTTTAATAGAAGAATATCTAATGGCATCAAGACACAACTGGCAGTGTATATTGGCAAATGCAAATGTGCATTTCCATGGTGCGGCCCTGTTTGGTTACATACATGCACACATGGTATGAATTGTACATTGCTAATTTCATACTTTTTCACTTCTGTGCATTTCTACAGTGAACATTTTTTTCTGTTATTGTTTTCAGACAGAGTCTTGCTATGCAGCCCAGGGTGACCTTGAGCCTAGGGCAATCCTCGGAGTGTTGGGATTATAGACAGGTGCCACCATGCCTGGCAGTATACATTTATTTAGTTGTTCTAATCAGGAGAAATAGTGGTCACTATTCATGATTCGTTCTTAAAGAGAAATTTCCAGACCCTGGGCCATAGCATTTTGCGAGTATGAAATTCTAGAGACATCCATGTTCCCTGATATTTATTTTTGGTAATGCATGGATTTTGTTTATTGAACCTGATCACTTTCATAGTCAAGAGACAGGAATTTATAGTCAAAAGAAAGGAAGGTTGGGGAACAAAGCAGTTTATACTCTCCATCCCACTATTGCATTTTTAGAAATTTACTTAACCCTGAGTATGAGCAAATACTGATAAAGCCTGCTCCTCACAGCAGCGTTTATAATAGAAAGAACAAGCAAACAGAAATGTGGTAATGGATGTATCAGCACCGTCTCGATATCGAACGACAAGGGGAGGGATAGAGACATTTGTGCAAACCCTGTAGGTGGACTTACAATCACACAGTGAACTGACACCAATCTTGTCTGCCTTGGTTGGAAGCTCTGTGACATTAGCTAAGGTACTCAACTGTTTAGCGTGTCACAGTCCTTATTAGCAAAACGGGGATCAGGGCCCTTCCTTACAGGGTGACTGGGAGGATTTTTATCAGTCAGAGTACAGGCAGGAAACCGAAGAGACACTCAAACTGGGTCATCTGGGGAAAGTTTACTGAGGGACTGCACAGAGGGGAGACAGGACACAGAGAAGTTACCACGGAGACTGCAGGGGTGACAGGAATTCCCAGGAGCAGTTACTGGATCTCTGCCCACCAGTGCTTGCCCATCTGTGCCCTGCGCCTGCTCTCTGGTCTCTTCTGAGGCATCTGTCCCTGCTCCATTGTGGCTGCACCGATGGGACATCCCACCAACATCAAATCTCAGTGGCCACCAACTTCTGGCCTGTGTTCCTCTCTCTGCCAGGCCAGAGCTGGGCTCTGCCTCAGATCATGGGGTGCATTCAGGACACTTCATCCCGGGACCATCGGCCAAGAGGCCAGGCAGGCAAAGTCATCTGCAGAGAGCCCATCGGCTGCCGTGTGACACACAGCTGAGCCCCGAGTAAGTCAGTGCAGCAGGAATTTCCTTCCACTGGGGCTCACACAGCAAATCCTCATCAGGGAGGCCGCAGGGGCTAGAGCTGGAATTGCCATCCAATCTATCACGTCGCCACTGGCCAGTCCGTGGCAGTCAGAGGACAGGAGCTCTTCACCACAGATTGTATAGTCAGCCGCGCCCGGCACAAGG